TGTGTGTGTGTGTGTGTGTGTACCGTCAAATTGGATCTGACTGGTACAGGAGACTGCCCCTCCTTCTCCAGCAGAGCATGAAGTAGAGTCTGGGGTTTCCCCACCCCCCCAGGTGCCTGTCGGGGCCTGGGTTTCAGCTGTCCACACCACAGCAGTGGGCAACAAGCTTAAAGCCCCTTATGGCTCTGGGCGCTGACTCTCACCAGTGGAAGTAGGGTTTTTGTATGGATTTTATTGAGTGGTTTTTGCTGAAAACTTAAGAAACCACTGAATCTCTAAGTTTCCTAGAATAACAGTGAGAAATTTTTTTTTTTATTTATCTCAGAGAGGTGACAACATCCAGGAAGTCAATGAGCTGGGAGAGAACGCAGGGTGGCAGCATGTGATGTGAAACACAGGGGTGTTTAGTGAAGGCCCAAGTACTGGAAGGAGGACCCACAGGAAAGCATCTTCCTCCAAGCCTGCTGCCAGCCCTGTGGATGCGGGAGACAGTTCTGCCCATTAGCATCTTGGACTCCAGTAAGTGCTCCGACGGCTGCTGCGGTTTCCCCAGACAGGACGATCTGTCTCCCCCCTTGTAAGGTGCCCTCAGCCGGCGAGGCAACAGCATGGGCGGCAGCTTCACTGTTGAGTGCCACGGTGACCGTGGCTCCCTGCTGCATCTCCTGAGAAGCGGCCATGGCAGCCTCTGCCAGGGACGCCACCGCCTGAGTGGCCTCGGAAGCTTGCGTCGTTTGGATGATCATCTCACGTCCCTGTAACGCGGCCCAATTTTGTTCCACCTCTCCATCCGCCACAGCGGAGTAATTCACCTGGGCAACAGTGACTGTGGTTGGCAGCTCAGAAGCATTCGCCAATGTGGCTACTGTTGCCCCTGTACCAACCTGAATAAGCGAGACAGTGCCATCGGGGTTTCTAAAGGTCTGCACAACAGTCTGTGAAGGTACAAGGTGGGCTATGCTGTGCGTTGCTGTGGCCTGTGTTTGTGTCTGCTGATCTTCGAAAACATACAAAAGGTCTTCTCGCCCGTGCTGCTTGTAACAGTTCTTAACTATGGTCCGTAGAGCTTGCGTCCATGAAACCCTCTGCTTCTGCTCTTCTGTGCGAACGTCGCTCCGGACATTTGCCCAGGGAATGTCTTTGGGCCACCAGATGGGCTTGCAGCTTTCTTTCCCCCAGCCTGGCTTTCCTCGACCCGTGGAGTACTTGAGCATCTCTGGGATAAATGCCCGAAGCTGGGCCTGGGTCATTTTGTCCACAGAGACTGGGATTCCGTCGATGGTGAGAGGCGGCAGCTCGGAGTTAACCTCCTGTGGTGCGGGGGCGTGTTTAGCCAGGGCCGACTCCAGGTCTTTCAGAATCATGTTCTTGTACTTACGCACCACATTCTCCAAAGGTGCTGCACCAAACACTTTGAAGACAGGGTTCGGTTTGGAGGGAGAAATACAGAGGACAATGGCTTGCTGTCCCACTCGAGTAGTGTGTTCATCTAACGTGGCTCGGAGCTTTCGAAGCAAGCGCGTCTGCTGTCTCTTCCGGATCGAGGGATTAGACTCAAACACGTGAGGTCGTTTCCTTTTCTTTCCTGTTGCCACAGCAGCAGCCGCTGCCATTCCCATAGGGCCTGCTGCAGCCAGATGGGCTGTCACCTCATCAACAGCCATGGAGTTGAGAATATCTGAATCATCATAACAAGTGTCCTCAGGAGAAGAATGGAAGTCTTCATCAGCACTCAGCATGCTGTGTTCAGTGTAGGTGGCCACATGGACCGGCTGGACTTGCTGGGCCACGGCATGGGCTTCTATGGTAGCCATGTGTTCAGTCTGGGTCACTGCGTGTTCCTCCATGAAGATCTCAGAGCGGCTGCACTACCGTGGGCCTGTGCCGTGGAGACTGCGACCGCGCCGGCTCTTCGCAGCCTCCTGCCACCAGCAGCAATGGCGAGCACTGCTGCCTCTGTCGCCGCCGAGTGAATTATTTTTGTTGCTAAAAGAAAATCTTCAACAAAGCAGTTTCATAAAAACTCATATAGAATATTAATATTGCTTTTATTTAATAAAAGCCAATTCAAAAAATAATAAATAATAAATATTTTTTATAAGAAGGTACTCAATATAACCTCAACCTACTACTCACAAAGATTTTTTGCTTGCATATCCAAACATATTCTCAAGATAGACTTTAGACCTTTGTATCTAGGTATAAAGGATCCATGAAATCTGAAAGGAGTTATGTTCCCTTGTATTTTAATACATATAGAATTTTCAACAAAAGAAAGAATTCTTAACCTGGGATCCATGGAATCCATGTATGGTTTTATAGGGTCTGTAACCTCCCAGATTATACCCCAAATTTTGTGTATATATTTATATACATTTTTAAGGAAACCTGCTGGTCTCACCAAATTCTGAAAAAGGTCAGAATTCAAAACAAAGCAAAGGTCAAGTATGTTAAAAGAATTAGTTCAAGGTCCAGATATTAGCTGACATCAAAGGGGAAGAGAAGGCTTTGCCAATAGTCCTGATTTCATCCCACAAGGAATCATCTCACAAGTATCAGCACATACACCCAGGCCACTAACTTTAGTGGGAGCTATAGAAATATCCTGGTGTAGTGTCAAGCGTTTACTTTTCAAAATGGCCTTCCTTGATATCCTGAGACTCCACCTAACCTAAAATGCATGGCCCAAACTGCAACCTTTTGTTACCCTGGGGGCCTGGTGTATGCCCCTGCACTCTGATAAAAGGAAGATTGCATCTGGGACTAGGGCGGGCTGTCTCTCCTCCCTTGCCTGAGATAGCCTAAGCCAGCTGCCCTATCTACCCTGGGTTTCTGATCTCATTTGTTAAGCTATATTGGCAAAAGGTGCATGAGCTTCAGGGGACCTTCCACAAAATTGCTGATCCCAAGAATGGGTACTGGGGGTTTGAGCTGGAGGCAGGAGGAAGATAGGTTAATGTTGAAAATGATGGAGTAGCACAACAGACGGAATGTATGGGACATTTTTGACCTAGGCTCTTTTGTAGCTAGTCTGGCACAAATTATTGGTATGGACAAAATTCTAAATAAAACACTTGACTAAATAAACTACAGCCCTGAAACATCCTTGAAAATATGTGATGATTTCTTCTCATATGATAATGTACCCAGAAGTTTTTTAAGGTTTTTTGTTGTTTTATTTTTCCTTTCAACATACCTTTAAAGCTTCGATAACAAGGTCCCTTGCTTCAAGCTCCCCTTCAAGAATACTGAACAGTGTCAAGAGTTCAGGCTTGCTGAGTTTTTCCAGATTCATTCTGAAAGACTAAAAGAACAAAAAATCATCAGACAATTTCTAGTTATTTTTGCCCTTGTTAAGTGTCATCATGTCAAGCATGACTCATAGCAACCCTATGAACAAGAGTCCTGAATCCTGTCCTATCTTTGATACCCTTGAGCCCATTCCTGCAGTTACTCTGTCAATCCACCTCATTGGAGGCCCTCCTCCCTTTCATTGACTTTCCACCTTTCCAAGCATGATAACCCTTTTTAAGGACTAGCCTCTTCTAGCAACATGTCAGTATGCAAGAGGCTTCACCAACCTTGTAATATAATTTTATTTATAATATTCTATTCATCCATGTAACATAACTTTAAAAAGAAAATGGTTATAATTAAATAGGAAGATGATATTAAGTATTAATCACAAACTGAACAGTAACAGAAAATAAAAATTTACTTTAATTATTGATTTCTTAACTATGCATAAGATGAACTTTTCTATCATTTTTCCTCCAGGCAATTTTCCAAATAAGTATTCTACATGGTCTGGAAAGAATTTTAGGCATGCATTGATAGCTGTCGAGTCAGAATGGACTCATAGCTGACCCTCTCTTGGGTTTCTGAGATTGTAAACTGAATGGGAGACGAGTGCCCATCTTTCTCCTACAGAGGCACTGTTAGATTTAAACTGCCAGGGAGGTGTATGTAGCCTTTGGATTAGCAGCACAACTCCCTCTGGGCTGGAACACCAGAGTTTCCTTGGGAAAGAATTAACCACTACTTTTTGTTCACTATAAGCTCAGGTACAGCTGCTTACAAATTACACTATCACCTTGAAAAGTTCTTAGACCACGGGGGAAAAAATCTCAGTTCAGAGAAGTAGAATTTCAAAACATTACATACAACATCCTAACATCCCTTTTGTTATGGACTGAATCACCTTCCCCAAAATATGTGTTGTAAATCCTAACCTCACTATACCTGTAGTAAATCTGTAAATCATATCTTTGCTATATTAAAGAGACACGATTAATGTAAGATGTACCTTGAGTTAATCTCTTTTAAAATCTGAAAGAGATTAAACAAGTGAGCAAAGAGAAAAATAGAGAGATGCCAAAACATATGGCAATCTCCAAGCAATGAGGAAGCAGAAGCTGAAGGGGCAAGGACCCCTGGAGCCAGTTCTCTCAATTTGAACTTTCAGCCTCCTAAACTCTGAGAAAACAAATTTCTTTTTGTTACAGTTATTCACTTGTGGTATTTTTGTTAAAGCAGTACTAAATAACTATGACAGCTCTGAAATTGGTTTAAATGGAATCTGAGTGAAGATAAAGACGGGTCTGAGGATGGAAGACAATTTTATTAAGGATTTTCTACATTATAGGAAACGTATACACAATATTTGTATTTTGCAGAGTAAAACAGAAAGTATATGCAAATAAACTTTTAAATGACTTCTTAAAATACATTGCTTCAAAGATCCTAACTGGCCAAGCATTAGTAACTAAATTTATTTGACTTACTGAATTTACATTTCTATGAGGTTCTATTTTTTTTTTTAATTTCATGCGGCAAATTTGTGGCACAAACTTAATCCTTTCTGACAAACTAAACGCAGACAGGAATGAGATGATACAGTCTTTGAAGAGTTTTCTGAGCACTATGTATGGTAAAATATGTTTTAATTTTCAAAGTAGAATAAATATTATTTCCCTTCTCCCACTTATTTCCAAATTGCCACTCTCATAATAGTTTTCTTTAAAGTGAATCCCAACATGACTAGTTCATATACTGTGAAGTAATTCCCAACTCTTGTGAGCACAGTAAATTTTAGGGGTACCACAAAAGAGTCATTGATTCCTTTCGTAGCTATTGCCTTTAAATGAACATGTAGAAAATGCAAACTTCACTGAGTTGTTAGGCTACGTTTCAGAAAATGCTATATAAATCTTTCACCACACAGTAAATATGCTCAATGTAACCTAAGGCTGACTGCTAACTTTCTAACTAGTGAATTTTAGTCACAAGCAAATGATTCTAGCTTCTTTAATATTAGAGTTATATCTCATAATGGTTTAAAGATAAAAACTAACTTTAAAAATTTAATACAAGATATTGAAAAAAAAATGCAGTATAAGATATTGGGAAGAGTATTGGCTTTTCCTATTATTCCAGTCAAAAGGTTCTTAGTTTTGCACTTGCTTAATGACTTTGGGACATCATGCTTGGAAAGATGGAGGGTTAGTGAAAAAGAGGAAAACCCTCAACCAGATGGACTGACACAGTGACTGCAGCAATGGGGTCGAGTATATTAGATTTTGTGAGGATGGCAGAGGAAAGGACAGGGTTCAGATCTGTTGTTCATAAGGTTGCTATACTGGACTCAACAGCACTTTAACAACAACAACAATGACAACTCTGGCAAATTTTTAAATTCTCAGTTTTCCTATCTGTGAAAAAGGAATGATGATATCAGATTCACTGGATTTTTGTGAAGAACAAAGGAGTTAATAGATGCAAAACATCATGCCAAGTTCCTATTACCAGTTCACTAAAAAGGAAAAAAAAACAAAAAAACCCCTAAACAGAACAATACATTATTTTCTCCCTAAAATGCAAAGTAAAGAAACAGCAAAACTGCATTCTGTGGTGGGATGGCAATAACTTCTGGGGGTGAGAGATAATACTGACCTGCTAACTGGTAGATTCACACGTTTGTCCTCAAATATCAACTCTTAAGACTGTCTTCAGTTACACTTTGGGGAATATTGACAAGTATACTTAAAAGGTTGTCAGCATGGTGGGAAAGTATTCAATGCTGCAAAAGAAAAAAAAATATTGTCCCTGTGATGATAATGTAAACAATTCAGTAAGTCTCATAAATGTTAATTACCATGTTTTTATTTTTGGTTGTTTTTTTAAAACAAAGTTTATTTGTACAGTCATTTCTACTGTAGAACCCTGTTTATTTATATTTATTTATTTATTTATTTATTTTTAGAACCCTGTTTTTGTTGTGTACTGTCGAGTTGAATAGACCGATAGCTGACCCTCTGGTGGGTTTTTATAGGCAGTTAATGGCATAGGAGATAGCTCATCCTTCTCCTGTGGAGCAGCTATCTGATGGCTTTGAATTGTGTGCCTTTGGGATTACAGTGCAGCTTCTTGCCACTAGGCCACCAGGGCTCCCTTATCATTATTGTTAATAAGGTCTAACAGCTCTAGAATGATAGTGACAAAATGGCAGAATAGTTAGCAATTAAAGCTGAAGCTGTATAATATAGCAGAAACATCAGCAATCTGAGTTCCCTTTTATAGTAATGCCACACAGGTGAGGGCTTTGGAAAAAGTATTTTAAAGATGTCCACTGTCCCAGGATCCTTGGAAGACATCATGCTTGGAAAGGTGGAGGGATAGCACAGGAGAGGAAGACCCCAGATGAGACGGATTGACACAGTAACTCGGACAATGGGGACAAGTGTGTTAGAGACAGTGAGATTGGCTCATGGCAAGGCAGGGTTCAGATGTACTGTACATAAGATTGCAATGAGACACAGGCTACTCAACGGTTCATAACAATAAGAAGAAGGCTTAATTTAGAAATGGTGTTTTTTCTTTTTTCTCTTTCCAGACATATAAAATGAAGGTTTTAAAAAAATGTGTTTCCGGGTTAAAAAAAAAAAAATCACAGCCATTTCAAGGACTACTTTTGAATATAAGACATCAACTCTCTTGTTCAAATTAATCCTGTTTGAATCACCATGACTTACACATAATGTACTCAAGAAAGGAAAGCATCATCATAACTACTGAATTTTCAAACTGTTAAAGCTCATCCCTCACCTCTTAAACCATAAATGAATGAACCTGTTACTATCTTAACCTCCTGTTTCTATTTTCTCTCATTAATTTTCACTTATGTATTCGATTATGCTTCTCTATCCATGTGTTACATCCAGCAAGCTTTTTAAAAGATGATGAGTTACATTTTTATATATTATTATATTTGATAAAAGTTTTGTTTGAATTTTACAGTGCTGTTATGGACTGAATTGTATTGTAAATACTAATCTTGATGCCTGCAGTTATAAACAATCCCATTTAGGAAAGAGTTGTCTTTGTTCTGTTAATAAAACAGATCTAGGGTAAACTGTTGGAAGCAGGAGTGACATCCACTTCCTAAACAACATGCCTCTGGAAACTTTGATAAATGACGATAGTTATATAGAAAGGCTTCTGGCCTTTTCTTCATAGGGTCGCTATGAATCATGCTCAACTCTACGACAATCAATAACAGTGTAAACTGTATCTTGAGTCAATATCTTTTGATATCTAAAAGAGATTAAATTAAAATAATGTAGGAAGCAGAGATGGGGAAGAGAGAGATGTCAAGCACCATGAAGATTTCCCAGAAGTAAAAGCTCAAATAAGACAAGGACCTTTCTTTAGAAGTGAAAGAGAATGCCTTCCCTAGAGCCAGTGCTCTTAATTCAGATTTCTTGCCTCCTAAATATTGAGAAAATAAATTTGTTGCAACACTCATTTGCGGTATTTCTGTTATAGAAATACTAGATAATTCCGAAAGGTACAAAGACAAATAGCTTGAAATTGCTAAAACAGTTTCAGTTTGCTCAGTTCCACAATCAACACTCTTGATACCAGCAGCCAGGAAATCAAAAGATGAAGTGCATTGGGAAAGTCTGTTGTCAGGGACATCTCCAGAGTGCTGAAGAGCAACTGTGTCAGTCTAGAGACAAGGCTATGGTGCACCTGATCCAGATCATGGTCTTCTCAATTACTTGCTATGCATCAGAAAGCTGGGCAAAGACTAGGGTTGATAGAAGGAGAATTGATGCCTTTGAGTGCTGGAGAAGAATATTGAATATACACACCATGGACTGCTAGGAGAACAAACAGGTTTGTCCTGGAAAGGGGGAAACCAGGCTACTCCTTGGAGACAAGGATTCTGAAGCTCTGTCTGAAATACTTTGGATAGGCTGTAAAGAGGGACCAGTCTTTGGAGGGGGACATCATGC